CACCCTACTGGACTGGCTGGCAAAGTGTGATTCGGGAGAGAACTGCAAGAATCTTTTAGCCTCTGATATATAATCCCCTTTATTTACCTACATTTAATTGAAGACATCTGTAGGTGGTGCCACACTTCTGTAATTCAGACTTAGAAATGTCAATAAAAATGTCTGTAAGGGAGAGGTCCGATGTAAACCTAGCAGGGGAGTGCACATCAGCAGCCACAGAGCCACATGAAATTAGGAATATAATGGAAATATGCTGCCTGACTTGACGAGGTGATAAAAGCTCTTTACCCATAAAGCTTAATGAGCTCTATTAGTCTTCAGCTTACAGGAATGTAAAAGGGTCAGCCCCACAGAGGGAAGTAACTGACTCTCCACACATGGCTCCATTCAAATGACAGCAGATCAAATTACTGATGTAATTACTATAACCTGACAATTTCGTTAGATTCATGTGGCAGTTAACTGTTTAGGACTTACAACAAAGGGACATGGTTCATTCATACTAGTTTTGTGGACAAAGTGAAGTTTAGAGTATCCTTCATTTGCAACTGCAAGTCTCATGTATTTTACGGTCTCTACCAGAATTATTTTTCTTTTCTTTTACTTTATTTTTTTTAAAGACTTTATTTGACAGAGAGACACAGCCAGAGAGGGAACACAAGCTGGGGGAGTGGGAGAGGGAGAAGCAGGCCTCCCGCCAAGCAAGGAGCCCGATGTGGGGCTCGATCCCAGGACCCTGGGACCATGACCTGAGCCGAAGGCAGACACTTAACGCCTGAGCCACCCAGGCACCCCGAATTATTTTTCTTTTAATCAGAATTAGGGCAGGTGTTTGGGTATTTATCATATTGTAAGTTTCCTTCTCCAGCTAAAACATAAGCTCAATGGCAAAATTAAACATTTGGGACTCCTAACACTCTCCTACTTTGGCTTTGCTTTGGCTCACAGGCAAAGGAGGTGGCAAAGGAACAGAATCCTGAGCTCAGTGCTGTTGGAAATTTGGGGGATAGCAGCCACTAACTATGCCATCAGGCAGCCCCCACAAAATTCCAGACTAGAAAAATTTCAACAGAAAGCCCTCAAGGTATTTCCCAAATACTTCAAGCAAACAAAAGCACATTGGTCATCTCTAATTTTGATTTTTTTTCCTTTTCCCATGTCCATAAACTCAGTAAGAAAAGAGATTTAAACAAGGTAAAACACAACTCCGGATCATGAAGTGGAAAAAGCAGATCAGACAGAAAATGACAGAAACTATTACTAAAATTTGATCATACTTTCCCTCTACTTTTCACCAAAGATTAAAGCTTCTGCATGTAGATTCTCAATATTTAGCCAGATGTAATTAAAAAAATATTTGTTTGGTACAACTCTAGCTGTACAGTTGGTAAACTCCAAGCCCTATCTATACCTGAGAGCATCCAAAGATGAAAAAAGACAAAGATCCTGACCTTAAGTAGTTACAATCTTGCTAGGAAGACTGTTAACCATATTGAAACATACATGTTAGGCCTTGTGTGTTTTTAGCTGACCACTGCCAGATTATGGGTAAAGTCCTGTTACTTGCAGCCTCAGCCCTACCTAGCTTACTCACTCATCCAACCGTTAACAAATATTCATCCAGTGCCTCCACTGTACTATTTACTATACTAAGATCAGAAACCCAAGCAAGAAAAACAGGGTGCTCTCTCACTGGGCTTACATCTGAGAAAAATCTATTAGTGAGGTCTATTTAGAAGGATCTTTGCCATTGTTAACACTGCCCCAGTAGCTCAGTGGACATCAAGAGCCAGCCTCCTTATTCACTCCATGTCCAGGTAAGCCAATCCAGCCTAAATGTCTTCTGCTCAAAACCATTCTTCCTGATTACTCCTCGAAGCTCTTGCTGAAATCAGAGTTCAGCCTTAAACCTTATCGGCATTCTCTTCACCTAAGCTCCTGCAATTTCTCCCCACCCACCTTTTTCTCCCAAGACTAGACCCTGTTTGCACATCAGTCAGAGACTTGCCTGATGTACTTTCCAAACACTACAAAAGTCACCACTAAAAACCTACCAAGGTATCTCTTCTCTCCATTGTGGCTCCTTCATGGAAGAGCAAAGGGTGAAACAATTTAACATCTTGTGTATCTTCTTAACTAATTTCTGTATGCTTAAATTATTTTTAAACTGAGATCTGCATGTATAATCTTGCGTCCTACTTCTTTCACTGTTTTGTTCATGAGCACATACTCATGAACATGTATATGCATAATCCCCATTTTAATGGCTGTAGAGTGTTCTATCCATAATATGGCTGTCTATACCATTATTTACTCCTCCTACTGTTGGACATTTAGACTGTTTATAAATCTTTTGCCATTATAAATAATGCTGTTAGGGTACCTGGGTGGCTCAGATGGTTAAGTGTCTGCCTTCGGCTCAGGTCACGATCTCCAGGTCCTGGGATCAAGCCCCATGTTAGGCTCCCAGCTCAGCAGGGAGCCTGCTTCTCCCTCTCCCTCTGCCCTTCCCCTGCTTGTGCTCTCTCTCTCTCTCAAATGAATAAATTGAAAAAAAAAAAAATCTTAAAAATAAACAAATAAATAAATAAAGCTGTAATAAACATTTAGGCAAGTTTTGTCCTCACTTCTAATTATTTCTCTGGCAGTGATTCTTAGACTAGAATTACTCAGGCACACAATCCACAGGTATGAATTTATATAGGGTGTTTAATGTAGATGACCAAACTGATTTCTGTATAGGATAAAGTTTAAAAACATCCCATCCCACCATATCATCCTAAGCATTCATTAAAAAAAAAATTTTTTTCTAAATAGGTAAGCAAGCATTTATCACTGTTCTTTTAAACTACACTTCTTTGATTACTTACAAGGTTAAACACTTAAAACATTTATTATCATTTGTATTTCACCACACTATCTCATAAAATCCAACCAAAAATTATGGGAAAGAAAATAGTACATTTTAAAATTGATTCCAGGAGATCATTAAGTATAATAACCTTATCATCACACTTTCCCCAAACTGCCTTTTAACTATATATGTTTTCATGAACAAAAGTAAGGATTTTTAACAGAAGCAAATCTTATTTTTCCATCCTTTCCTTTGTGGTACTTCCCATTCTGCTATGCTTAAAAAATGCTTCATCAGGGCACCTGGGTGGCTCAGTTGGTTAAGCGACTGCCTTCGGCTCAGGTCATGATCCTGGAGTCCCAGGATCGAGTCCCGCATCGGGCTCCCTGCTCAGCGGGGAGTCTGCTTCTCCCTCTGACCCTCCCCCCTCTCACGTGCTCTCTTTCTCTCAAATAAATAAAATCTTAAAAAAAAAAAAGCTTCATCAACTGAAGAGTAAATTGTATAATTTATACTGTCTTCAAATTTCTTATGGTTTGCTTTTATTGTTTTCACCCTAAACTTTATTTAAAATTCTATGTGACAGGCATTGTGTTCAGTGTTTGCCACACACTATTTCTTTTTAATAACCATAAAGTATTACCATTTCCATCTTTAGATTAACCAAAAGATGAAATGACTTGCTCATAGGCCAACCAAGCCTCTGACATTTCAAAGCCCAGACTGTCCAAACATAGCTTTGTTTCCCCCTTGATCCTGGATATTTAGAAAATGTGACCAAACTTGGATGGTACTCTCTGGCCTCATCAGTTTCCCCTGGCAATCATCAAACTGGTCTCTAAGAGTATTTAATGTGCTAGGCTGGGCTACACCATACACCCACAACGTTCCAGTAATTTCATGAACACGGTGTTACCGAAGCAGAACAGGGAACACTGCCTCTATATGGAGAGGTGCCGGAGGGCCAAGACAGTGGGCAAAACCTGGAGGCTCAACCTGAAGAGGGACAGTATTTGAACAAGCTGGGAATGGGGGAAGGGAACATAAAGTGCAATAAACAGAAGCAAAAGGAAGAACAAAGGAAAGGCAGAGAACAGTGTCTTATTGTGTGGGGCTGCAGTACAACCCAAGAGGAAAATACACAATATCACTAAGGTTTGAGTAGCACTTTATTTATTGAACTCACTTGAACTCATGACCCTGGGATCAAGACCTGAGCCTGAGCCACCCAGCTGCCCCTGAGTAGCACTTTAAAAACGCTGCCATGTCCACTGCTTCATAGGAAAGGTAGGAATTATCATTTGCATTTTAAAAATAAAAAAACCCAGACTCAGGGAAGTTGGGATTTGCCCAGTGTGACCAGTAAGGGAAGGCATGCTCTGAAAACCAGCTTTGGTTCTGAGTGCAAGCATCTCTACTCCGCGGCCTCCTCTTTCCTCCTCCTTCCTCAAAGCCTCACCCATCTTGTGTCAACTCAGGTCAGCTGCTTTCCTAAATATCTTTATCTCACAGTGTTATCACCGGGAGTCTCAGCTCTACCCCGCAGAACCATTATAAGGACTCAAGGTGGAAGTGAATGAAGCACTGAGAGAGGGGGAGGGGAGAGGAGCGGGGAGAGAGGGAGGGAGGAGGGGGCGGAGAGGGAGACAGAGGAAGGGAGCATGCCTGTGTTTAAGAAAAGCTCCATAACAGGTAAGTCCTTTGCTCTTCCCTCATCAACTCAGGGGTTTGAAAAAGTGCTCTCAAACCAACAGAAACTTGCCTGACAACATCCCCCCCACCCCTTGACTCCTGCAGCTCTTGGTTACCGGTTAACAGCCAGGGCAGTTAAGACAGAATAAGGCTAGTGTCAACAGTTAAGAAGGAAGCAGATACAGTAAGGCTCTTTACAATGCAAGACTGATTTCAGTTTACTTAAAAAAAAAAGAAAATGTTCTTAAAAAGAAGCAATGACCTGTTATGAAGGTGAGCAGTTTTATAACTTAACAGGAATTCTTATTCTAAACAAAGTCTGTATTCATCTCATTACCATTATTGAAGAGTATGTGTTAAAACAAAATGATCACCTCTAATTTACCAACAAAACATACCAATAGTGATGTCCAATTAGTGATCCTAGTATTAAGGTCAGGGAGTAAACTCTTACCTCCAGAGGTGAGCTGCAAAGGAACCTTGTGAACTGCAGAGTCATATTTGAATATCAGGATCAGTTTCATCCAATAAATGGGAAGCAAAAGACAACAAAAAAAGGAAAAATTATTATTATATATCTTTTCAATAACAGCATGTAAAGTAAACTTTAAAGTCAATAAAATTAACGTGTTTGATACATTGTGTGGTTCATCCACAGAGTACAGAAAAGTTCAATCTAGCCCATAGTTGGTATTTGAATTAGTTTAAATAAAATCTGTATAAAATCTATATAAAAATGAATTAAAGCACAACAAATTAGTCTTAAAAGCTTTCATTTTTTAAGGTTTCCTCTTACAACCCCTACATAATAAAACATCCTCCAAGGGAGGAGTTAGCAATCCTCCTGACAATGAATGCCACAGGCAAAATTAAGTAAAGGCCAAGAGAAGGAAAAGATAGAAACCAAAGGGGAACCAAGAAAAGAAATAAAAAGTCAAGAGCAGGCGAGGAGGCGGGGTGAACAAGAGTGACACAAGGGGAGTCACGCCCACACCGGTGCCTGGCCCCAGGGTTCACCCCTCTGCCTTCCTCCTCCTCAGCTCACACGCATCCTTGTTCTATCATCTCTTTCTCTGACACATGCCGAGGCTTACAGAATTTCATCTGAAACTAAGTGTTATATATGCCGTTTCTCAGCATTTAAATAAAAAAACATAAATTTTGGCAGGGTAGGGAGGAGCCAGGGGCAAATGACAAAGCAAACTGCAGGTTAGCTCTGAAACGAGGACTGTCACATAACTCCATATATATTCATGATGATAATTCATATTTTTAGATGTCATTTATAAAATCAATGTTTCAAATCCTTTGAGAGTTACTGTAATGGTAAAATACCCAAGTAGTATAAACTCTTGATCTCTCCGAATGCAAAATAACTACAATAAAATGCTATGGCAGGCCTGTTTCCAAGCACTCTTGAACTTCCTCTCCACAACAAAACTAGCTAGTACTCACAGGGAATACAAATAATTTGATTCTCTTTTAGAGATACACTTGAAATATTTCTCAGTGAAATTACATGATGTCTGGGATTTCCATCAAAATCACTGGGGGGGTCAGGAGGGAACTATTGTAGGATAGTGTGTAGATAAAACAAGACTGGCCATTATATTAAACCGGTAAGAAAAGAAGATGAATATAAGCAGATTCATTATATGACTCTATTTTGTGAATATTTCCAGTTTTCTACAATAAAGTTTAAAAAGCATATCACACACTTCCTCCCCACAAAACTAAAGCAAATATATTCATAAAATGTTACTAGTGCACACCAAAGCCATGTAATTAACTAGTATCACTTAGGTCCTAGTTACTTTAGTAACTTTTTTCTTCATTTAAATATCAATATGCAATTTGATTATATTAACTGTTAAAGGAACTTTCTGAAAGTGCAAGATATACCAAAATTTTAAGTTTTCATAATGCTGATATGTAACAAAGTAATTCTGTTGAAATTTAAAGTGCAATCTTGTGATCTTGAGTTATTTTCATAGTAGCCCAACACAAGACAATCCCTACTCTTCCTCCCAGGAGTAAAAAGTAAGAACTGAAAGTTTTAACAGTGGAGAAAAATGAGGTATGGCGAATTTTTATTTCAAAATGAGAAAGTTGCTCTTGCACGGTTTCTGGGCTTTTCTCCACTATGTGCATGTCAACTATATGGTACCCATTATACTTCAGAACTGAGAAGTAGTTCTGGTTCAGTAGTAACTGATGTATCAGTTAGGATGGAGGTCACTTTAAATAACAATAAAGAGAAGCATATGATTACTCTCCAAGAAAACAAAGGTCTCCTTGCAGGTCCAGTAACTGACACACACCTTTGTCACGTGTGTATGTAACATTCCCGTCACAGCTTTTTCAAAATAGACCTAAAAATTCCTACCCTGCCTGAAGCTGCCGAAACACGAAGTACATAAGTAAAAGTTCTCAATTCCCGAAGCAGTAAAAACAGAATAACAAACCACAAGGTGCACATTCACTCTCCTATTCAAAGGACATGAAAAGGTCCAAAAATGCTGTTTCTTGATTAGTGCACCAGAAAACCCACTGCTAGTTCCCTTCAGTTAGTTAGTAAATTTTCATTGTGAAACGACATATATTATATCCAATACAAATGGTAATACTTTGAAAAAGAACTATAAAAAAGCAAATTATTACAAAATATATTTGTACATACACTGTAACTGACAGTAGAAACAGATGCCTTCTAACAAATACCATCAGAATGTCTGATCAGTATAAAAATGGCTCAATGTTGCTGTTACAACAACTAAAAAAACTATGGCCACAGTCCCGTAGTCCACATTAATACCACTTATCTAACATAGTTATATTAATGCAGCTATTTAAAAAATATTACGTTATGGGCATAGTTAATAAGCTTAAGAGAAAGATCCTATTTTAGATATTTAGGCAAAATGTTGAGAAAATAAAGAATTTAATATGTTTACAAAATATCTTACTGATTTTACAGATAGGAATATACTTCGTCATTCTAGAAACAACTGGAAGTAAATAATAGCCATAGTTTTTATCTTTCTATGTTATTTATTTTTTTTTAATTTTTAAAGATTTATTTATTTATTTATTTATTTATTTGACAGAGAAAGACACAGCGAGAGAGGGAACACAAGCAGGGGCAGAGGGAGAGGGAGAAGCAGGCTTCCTGCCGAGCAGGGAGCCTGATGTGGGGCTCAATCCCAGGACCCTGGGATCATGGCCTGAGCCAAACGCAGACGCTTAACGACTGAGCCACCCAGGCGCCCTCTTTCTATGTATCTATTTTAAAGACTACTTCTGAGAAATGTTGATTTAATATAGTTGAAAATAGGAACAACCTGCCTGACATTTGGCTTTTCAAATGCAAACAGGTAAGTTTTTCAATAACAACATTAATAACATTATTACTTGGACTCACTTGCTAAAATTCATAAAAATTTTGTCAATGATCTCGTCTACTCCTGAATTTTTTTTTTAATATTTTATTTATTTATTTGACAGAAAGCGAGAGAGCACAAGCAGAGGGAGCAGCAGAGAGGAGAAGCAGGCTCCCCATGGAGCAGGGAGCCCGATGTGGGGTTCGATCCCAGAATCCTGGGATCATGACCCAAGCACAAGGCAGACACTTAATGACTGAGCCACCCAGGTGCCCCTGAATTTTTTTTTTTAATTTTATTTGACAGAGAGAGAGATAGCGAGAGAGGGAACACAAGCAGGGGGAATGGGAGAGGGAGAAGCAGGCTTCCCGCTGAGCAGGGAGCCCAATACAGGGCTCGATCCCAGGACCCTGGGATCATGACCTGAGTCCAAGGCAGATGCTTAAAGACTGAGCCACCCAGGCGCCCCGCCCCTGAATTTTTTTAAATAATAAGTATGTTCCTTATTTAGCATCCAGGCATAAAGGCCATCAGTGCCATTTTAAAAACCTTTCAGGCCTCTAAAAAGGGAAAAAGGATAGACCCATATCAGTTCTCATGTCCCACACTACTTACTGACCTTCCTTCTCTTAAAGTATTCTTATCACTTCTAGCTCCATTGGTAGCCTACGTCATAACACCTTCTCATTCCTTCCAGAGAAGCACTTAGTGCTTACCAAAATTTTTTCAACAGTTTTCCAAGCACACAAAATTGTAGTTAAGCTTCTTGTCAGTTATGATCAGAAAGTTCTTTCTTTTTCCAAGACTTGTTATTAACCATGCCTGTTATGCTGGGGGGGGCGGGGGGCGGCGGTGGAGATGGTGAGGGAGGCAAGAAGGAGAGAAGAATGCGCACTACTGGTTTTGTCAAAATATCCCGTTAAAACTATAATCAACTAGGGGCGCCTGGGTGGCTCAGTCGTTAAGCATCTGCCTTCGGCTCAGGTCGCGGTCCCGGGGTCCTGGGATCGAGCCCCGCATCGGGCTCCCTGCTCAGCGGGAAGCCTGCTTCTCCCTCTCCCACTCCCCCTGCTTGTGTGCCCTCTCTCGCTGTGCCTCTCTCTCTGTAAAAATAAATGGATGGAATCTTAAAAAAAAAAACTATAATCAACTATTTATCTTTGTAATATAGAACATTCAACACATAAGTAATATAAGCTACTATATACCTGAAATGCCTTTTCTGGTTTAATAAGGAACCATGTTAAATTCCTATATTTTGACCAAAAAAGAAACACTAAACAGCAATTTTTTATAAGATAAGGCACAACTTTTTTTTTTCTAAACAGAAAAACATCAGTGAGTTATGCCTACATGTCAAAGTGGAATTCAAGTCTTTCTTACAACTGTTTGTATAGATTACCCGAAATGTCCTTGCATTAACAAAACACTTCTGCTGCTCTGTTTCCTTGACCTTTCACCCTAGCATACGGTACTTACAAATTGTCAGGGGACAAGTCTAATGATTTTAGATTATAACCTAACAAAATCTTTATTTAAAACCTAAATCATACGCAATGTAAGACACTTAAGTTTTTCTATCAGGAATTTGGAAGTTTTGATTCAGTTAAGAGTCTAAAGTTAAATTAGGCTCCCTTTCCATTCTCCCACAACTGCTGGTACATATTTGGACTACTGGAAATTGACTGTTTTAAGGCAGTGCAAGAACTAAGTTTTATGTTAAGAATGTGTTTCTCGTGGGGGCGCCTGGGTGGCTCAGTCGTTAAGCGTCTGCCTTTGGCTCAGGTCATGATCTCAGGGTCCTGGGATCGAGCCCTGCATCGGGCTCCCTGCTCAGCGGGAAGCCTGCTTCTCCCTCTCCCACTCCTCCTGCTTGTGTTCCCTCTCTCACTGTGTGTCTCTCTCTGTCAAATAAATTAATAAAATCTTAAAAAAAAAAAAAAAAGAATGTGTTTCTCATGAATCTCCAACGCTTAAAAATTAATCTGATTCCATAGAAGAAAAAAGTTTTATTATTTCATTTCACTGCAGAAAAACAAAATCTTCAAAGGCAGCCTACACAGCTAACACCCATTTAAAAAGTCATCCAGAGAATGGAAATTAAATC